GATGGTCCACCCCGTATCATAGCGATAGGTCCACCCCGTATCATAGAGATAGGTCTACCCAGTATCATAGAGATGTCTACCCAGTATCATAGAGATAGGTCGACCCAGTATCATAGAGATAGGTCCACCCCGTATCATAGAGATAGGTCCACCCCGTATCGTAGAGATAGATCTACCCAGTATCATAGAGATAGGTCTACCCAGTATCATAGAGATAGGTCCACCCAGTATCATAGAGATAGGTCGACCCAGTATTAAAGAGATATGTCTACCCAGTATCATAGAGATAGGTTCACCCAGTATCATAGACATAGGTTAACCCAGTATCATAGAGATGAGTTCACCCAGTATCATAGAGATAGGTCTACCCAGTATCATGGAGATAGGTCCACCCAGTATCATAGAGATAGGTCTACCCAGTATCATAGGGATAGGTCCACCCAGTATCATAGAGATAGGTCTACCCAGTATCATAGGGATAGGTCCACCCAGTATCATAGAGATAGGTTTACCCCGTATCATAGTGATAGGTCCACCCAGTATCATAGAGATAGGTCCACCCAGTATCATAGAGATAGGTCTACCCAGTATTATAGTGATAGGTTCACCCAGTATTATAGTGATAGGTTCACCCAGTATTATAGTGATAGGTCCACCCAGTATCATAGACATAGGTTAACCCAGTATCATAGAAGTAAGCATCAAACGTAATAGGGGGCATTCCTGTCAAAAGTGCTACATATCATCGCTACTAAACTAAACCCGGCGCACAATCCAGTCCAGTGTGGCTACGGTCATGTCATAATCAAATAGTTGTAGAGATCTATATTAAATTCCAGGTACGGAGGGTATATTGATGGAGGAGTGTGATGAACTAGGTATTTATCAAGATGAAGACTCTTGTACAAGCTTTAAACTCTGTGTCAGTGATAAATGGGGAGGGTTTAAATCTCTCCGTATGAAATGTCCGACTGGTACGAAATATGACCACGAATTGAAAGTTTGTAATCA